AGAGAGAGAGAGAGAGAGAGAGAGAGAGAGAGAGAGAGAGTACACTCTGCTTGAATTCTACCAATCAAGACTTGAGCTTAGATAATTACATCGGTAGAGGAATACATTTGGCCAACACTTGAGCTCATGTTTCTTCTGATTCCATTAAGATTTCTTACATAATGCTCTTATGGTTTTTCTATATAGAAACAGGCTAAGGTTGAAATCATGAAAAAGAAAACGAAAATGAAAATGATGGTGAAATTACAATACAAACTATGATCTAATTAATGAAGCCAATTGGAGGGTGTTACTGATTTTCCTTCTAATTGTGGTATCCCATCCCTGGCAAAGCCATTGATCAGCAACGTGAACCCTTCTTGCAGCCAAGTGCTCCTGCTCCAATGGTGATTGAGCCCACGAGGGAAGAAGGTCTCGCACCCAAGCTCGAGGCCCTTGCATAACTCGAAGAAGCTCCTGCCCCTGTAGCAGTGAAGAAGGCACCATTCAACATTTGGTCTCCTTCTGATCTCCAGTTCCATTTCTTCCATTCAGATTCTGGTGCAACCTCATGTTTGGTAACCTGAAACCCATCATTACTTTCAAGTCAGTTCATTTAGGGCACTTGTTGGCAACTTTTTTCACAGTGATAGTTTTGCTGAATCGAGTTTTGTTTAGTGGTGGAAATCTGGTGCACTAGGTTGTTCTTTCTTAGTATAGCATTTGCATTAAGCAAGTAACAAATAAATACTCTGTACTCATGGATGGAGCTCTCTGAGTGTTAATTATGGTTCTCACCTCTTTATTGAATCTGTCATTGGGGGCCAAAAATCTGTTGCCTTGGCTGTTGATAGTAGGAGCAGCACTGCCACCAAGTGCATACATTTCCCAATGGGTATAGTCATTATTCACCACATGAAAATATCCATGTCTACACCTGTAAATAAGGAGGAAAATTAGTGCCCTTTTGTAATTAATGTTTTTACAAATATGGGTTATGCAAAAATTACAAGAAATATATGCAGTTTATGATATTTATGATGTGACCCCTCTTATGTATAGTTGATTTACCTTGGCATCCTTTGCACAAGCCCTTCTCCAAAATGGTTGAAGGCTATGGTGACTTGCATGTTCTTGTCCTGTGTGTAAGTATCACTGTGACCAAGAAGCATGACCTTATTATGGTGTGTCATGTAATTGTTTGAGATGGTTATGGCTGTTGATCCATGAATGGCATCAATAAGGCCATCATTGCAATTAGATAAAGAGCAGTGATCCACCCAAACATGGCTTCCTCCGAAAATCGACACCCCATCGCCGTCCGATATAGTTCTCCAGCCATAATGGTTAGGTGAGTCTCTCACATTTGCATTCCCTCCTTGCTTGCAGTCATGGATATTTAGACCATGAATGATGATGTTGGTCACATATTGTATCGTAATGCATGGTCCACCAGCAATGTGGACACTTGCACCTCGACCGTCGATTGTCTTGAAGGAATTCATCATGAGTTCTTCCTTCAATTTGATCACCATGTCGCGTTGAAAAATGATCCATAGAGGTTCATCTTGGATAACACCATATCTTAGAGTTCCTGGTTTCGGGTTAACGGCATCATCGCCCGAGTCTGTGACCACGTATATTTGACCATCTCTTCCACCTACGGCATGCTTGCCAAACCCAATCGCGCAATCGGCTAGGCTTTGCCGGTTCTTCTCCCAATTGGGGTCGCACCTCCAGCAATCGTCAATAGGGTTGCCGGTTCCACAAGAGAGAAAGCCCAAACTCCTCCTAGATGCATTATTGATCCTCCTGCATTATGTACCCAAACAAAAATGTGACAAATTGTTAGACAAATGGATGAAAGTAAATACTGAATTGTTGGTAATATGAATAAGCGGAAAATGTGGCATCATACTTGTTCACTTCTTGTACTACTAGCTCAGGGTCTTGAACTGGTGAAGAAAATGTGAAGCTTGGAGCTAGAAGAGGCAAGAGGAATAGAAGAAAAACATTCATTTCCATTTTTCTTCCTCCCACTGTCGAGAGAGAGAGAGAGAATGTGTGTAGAATTTTGAAGCAGATTAAGTATATATAAAGGGGAGAGGAGGGGGAGGGGCCCTGATAAAACAAAACATTTGGGCCCACCTGCTTCATGATTTGTAGTTCTACATCTTCCCAATGTAGTTGTTTGAACATTGAACTAGTACGCAGGGTTTAGAAAATTGTTATTAATAATCTTGTTCATTTACTAAATTGGATGTATGTCTCAATATATAAATAGGAGTATACAAAATATTGTCCTGGCCTATAGAACATGAAAACTGAGTAGATTTGCAAATGCAATGACTTATCAGTATTTTTCCCCATTGATGAAGTTCCAAAAAGAGAGTGGTTTTGAACTTATACTGATCGGCTATATGCCGCATATATTGGGCATGTTTGAAGGTGGTTTTTTCGGGTGCAAAATAGAGGTTTGAAAAATGAAATGAAAGTTAAAAAAACTCTTAGAACAGTTTGAAGTGTTTTAAAAAAAATCAACTTTTCTTTGAAAGTCTTTGAATAAGTTCAATTTTTTAGCTTTTCTTTGGTGATGATAAAAGTTGTCTTTGCCTAAAAAGTGCCCAATAGACCTGGGTCCAAACTAACTAGGTTTCTTTTCCTTTGAAATAAAAAAAAAAAGTTGAGGTTTTAAGTCAATTCAAAACATATCCATTGTGTTTATTGAACATCCAAATGTTTCAAGAAGAGATAGCAGCGTGCCGGAAAATAGTTTCGGAACGGTAGTTTCTCTTGATGTTCGATAAAAGTGTGACAAATTTAAAACACTTGTCTATTATTTCATCGCATTTTACTGTTTCTATTATCAATGAATATGAATAACTTCAATTAAAATCGATGATAAATTTCTTTTTTAGTATTGTACCGAAAAATTTTCGGCACAAAAGCATGATGTCTGAAGAAGGGTGTTTTTTTATTATTGAGTGTCTAGATTGGTACTGATTATTCTTTTATGCTCCGTTTGGTATGATCGAAAAATAAAAAGATAGAAAATTGGAAGGATAGAAAGTTAGAGGGATAAATGAAATATTATATTTGGTAAGGAAGAAAAATAGGAAGGATGGAAAAGTGGATGGATTAACTTTTCTTCCAACTCACTAAAATCCATCCCTCTAAAATCAGAAAGAAAGTGGATAGAAAGTTAATTATTTATGTTGAGATATATCTTATTTGTCTATTAGTCATAACCCGTGCCTGAAGACACGATAAAATATAAAATTCGAGCGTCTAAAAAATCGATTCCACTATATTAAATTTTTTCAACATGTGTATATTATCGTATATCAATAATGTTTGAAATAAAAATTATATTAACTATAAATTAATAAAACCATGAGGATAGTTGGCCTCATAGTTTTCTTCATATTCTAAAGTCAAAATGATATCCAATGATTCTACATATTCTGAAGTCAAAAAAGAAAACTAATACAACTTGACATCAGATCTGGAGAAGCCGAAGAAGATCTGGAGAAGATGAAAACTGGTTTTGAACCGGCCGATTTTTTAATCTTTGGTTCACCGGTTTTTGGTTCAAACCGGCTTGTTTTTCAGTTTTCTAACAATTCAATTATCCAAACGATCTTTTTAGTGAACTGGAGCGTTGAAGGTCCTAGCTCACCTGTCCAATCTGCCGGTTTGATCCAATTCTGATAACATTAGTCTAGATTGGTACCGATTATTCTCTTAAGCTCAACAGTTGTCTCCACAACCTAAATTAAGTTAGAGTATGTCCGTGAAGAACAAAGGAGGATAGAAGAGTGTTTAATGAGAGGATAAACAGAATAAAAGCCGTTATTATAGGTTATGGATGGTTTAGTAGCAGTATCAAAACTGTACACCGACACTTGCTCCTCTGTCGGTGTTGTGCTCTTCTTTATGTATTGTGTCCACATCAGACATTATTTCTGCTGCATTTAGTTAAGGCTTAGGCTATGTTACACCAGAGATAATTTGAACGGATGGAGTTTGGATCTAGAGTGTTCCCACTGCTCGTCCACATAAACGATATGTTTTGGATCCATTTTAGAAATTAGTCTTTTCAAAATAAGAGATAATTATTTATTTACTTATCTGTCGGTTGTTTTGTATAGTGAAAAATATCTTTTTATTTATTGGATGCTTGCTTTTTCTCTTTTACTGTTTTCTATGATCTCGAATTTTAGTGCTTAATTAGGAACCTTAAACTCAAATTTTGCATAAACTTAAGTTTGCTAATGATTATACCCATCGACTCGGATGCTCCAAATGGTAAGACTAGTTAGCTAGAAATTTACTTCATGAAGGGTTTTTTTTTTTTGGATGACAGGAAAAATTCTTGGTCTGTTTTCGGCGAGAGAGAGACGACTTAATCTCTTAGGTTCATGAGTCCGAATAGAATTGAGGGCAAACTTTAGGTACAAGAGTCGATCTCACAATCTATACACTAATTAAATCAAAATTTGTTCGTCGGTGAAAATTTGAACCACACTAGATACTTGGATATGATTTATCCAAGTGACATAGATCTGTCTTAGTAACTATTTGCATTTTTGTCATTCAAGAGATTTGAACGCTTGATCTCATGAAAGTTAATCTTTCACAAGATAAATGGTATCATTGAACCAAAAACCTGTGAATCACTTCATGAAATTGGATTCACTAAGTTTTAGCTTGTTCTTTGAAATACATGTATATGACTCCGAAAAAATTAATTGAATATTCTAAGAAACTCAGATATTTCAAGTTAGCAAAATTCTTAAAACAACAATTTGTATGGAACAATCATCGGATAAGAGATGGAAGGTATCTATGGCCATTAATATTGTTGTGATTATAAGTTGTATTAGTTTTCATTTTTGACTTTAGAATATGAAGAATCATTAAGAAAACTATGAGGCCAACCATCCTCCATGTGGGTGTACTGACCAAGAGGCTTTAAAGTCATGATAGAATGTGAGTATTGTAAAAAAATAAAATTAAAGAATAATCAAATCAAAGCTAGTTCTAGTTACAAAATCAATTTTTTTTTAATAAAATAAAAAGATATTTTTAGAAAGTAGACCAAACATCCATATAGGTCTTATTGTAATTTAGAGGAATAATACGGTACCCAAGTCAATTTCGTATTAAAATTTATAATTTTTTATAGTCAAGTTATAATTTTTTAAAATATAAGTTATAAGTAATGATCAACCTTAAAACGTGATGATTAATCGTAAAAATTACAACTTTTAATATTTTTTTTTGAATAAATACTTCTAAAGGTTAAATTAAAATTTTTAAATGTGAAGTTATAACTGATTAAAAAATATTGATGATCGATCAAAATATTTCATAATTAATTACGAATTTATCTCAGGTATTTTTAATTTTAATTTTAAAAGTGTAATTTAAAAAAAAGGTAATAAATTTTGGTGCGATTTGAATTTTATTTTTAGAATTAATTACACTGTAATTTATGTAATATATAACGAATCAGCACGTGCTTCTAACTGTATTAACCGCAAACCCCGCCCGGGTTTCGGAGAAAAAGAAAGACTTTTG